CTATGTCTGCTAGAAGTGCCTTAGAGTTTTGATGATCGGTCAGTCAGTGAGTGACAAAATTAAGAAACTTTGACTAGTTATAACTCTTAAACTACTGGTTCGAATTTAATGAAATTTGAAATTTACCGAGTTTATACAATGCCTACTTGGTTACAGAAGTTAAGAATTCAGGCTACTAGTTTTATCCGCAATGAAGTTATAGGGTTTCGAAAATGGCCTAAACTGATACGAGAAAAGGATGGTACGGCCGTGCTGCTTTTTTGCTCGACTTGGCGGGGGCACTGCCGTGCCCCCAGATTTTCATTAAACTAAAGTAGCTAACGAACTAACAGTGAACTTGATGGAATGGTCCTACTGCAATCCATGAACACCTGCAGCTAACTTCAAAGAAAGGAGGCTACAAATGAGGGCATCCACGACTTTTTCTGCCACCAGGGCGGCGCCACTAGAAAGTGAGGTATAATATTTGATAGATTTCATAGCGGGGAAGTTAATTTGTTCGGAAAATGTAAAAGTTATTGTTTCTTTCTGTACCATTAGCTATATTTTATATTAATAACATTAAAAATAAATAAACCAAGCCACGGATATTCATAAAAGTAGAGAAATTAAAAAAAAAATAGTTAAAAATCTGCAAAAAATTAGACAACAAACTCTAGGAACTGATTTATAAACTTTTATTAAAAAAAAAACAACTTCTTAATTAAATTAAATTGTGTAAAAAAACTTTACCTCAGTGTCAACTAGCGACATCTGGTGAGCGGAAAATTATTAGCCCTCATTGCGTTGTCACCTCTGAGCATTAAGATGGAGTCTGTTATTATACTACCTTTTTATACCCTACAGAGCACAACACGAAACACAACACAGCGGACACTGCTATTTGACGGTAGAAATAGAAAATACGGTGGTAGCTATCGAGACGAATTCCTAGACAGAAAATAAGTTCTACCACTTAGTAGAATCTGTTTTTATCTTCACGACCATGTTGTTGCAGATAGGACGCATTAAAATAGCATAGATCGTATGTGATAAATAATATTCCCTTAAGCTTTAGAGTATTTCCAAAAAAAAAAATGTATTTGTATGCTTGTATATTTAAAAAATATCAATCTAGATTTGAACAGGTTCTGTCGCGAGTGCTCTATCCCATCCTGACCTACTCACATAACGTTAAATACACAAATAATACATGATCTACACACAAGTTATTATAATAGGCTTTTATTATTTTAGTACATGTGTACTGGCACTTTCACTTTATTTTTTCTTTGATCGTATAATTCGCAGTCCATTACTAAAGAGAAGATTAGATCGTGTCTTTCTCATTATCACATAACATGTCGCACTAGGTATATTATGTATACTAGCTGTTCCCCCGACTTCGTCCGCGAGTAATTTAGGGTTATAATTTTGCTGCACAGAATCCTAATCATTTTTGTAAAATATATGTAGCCTAACTTACTCCTTATAACATCAGCTATCTACCATCGAAAGTCCCGTCAAAGTCGATCCAGCCGTTTCGGAGATTAGCCGGAACAAACTGACAGACAAAATTTTTTATAATTGAGTTTTTGTTGTAGGTACCGTTTTATATGCAATTAGTAAAAAGCGGTTATTTTGACATTAAAAACAGACACTTCAATTATATGGATTTGTATAGTTGATATGACTACAAAGACTGGAGGACGTCATTATCAATAACGTAATATATTGATGGACAAGTAAAAAATATATATTGATATTTATCGTGTCGATATTTTTAAATAGTTTTTTTTTGTAGTATAAGGGTGACACACGTGCACGCAGTGCACCTGATGGTAAGTGGATGCTGTAGCCCAGAAACATCTTTATTTATTCTTGATTAAGAAACAAATTGCTGATGCAGTAAGCTGCTATTTTAAGCTGGTATTCTGTGAGAGCGTGGTCCTACCCCGGTCGAATCGACTCATTCGTGCCACAACCATAATATAGCTGCAGCGTGGCTCTACAATCCATCAAACAGTATAGATAATTATAGCGTGATAAATATCAATATATCGATATATCGTCGTTTTGCTTGATGTAGTAGGATGAGGGCTAAAATTTTATTACTGGACGTTTTGACGACGAAAAATAAACAGCACATAAACGCTTTTAGTAGTTGCTTTTGTTGCTTAACGTTTTGTCTATTAATTATAAAATAAATATAAGATTTTGTATGTATAATTCGGTACTCTAAAATAAATATGAAATATATCGATATATCGCAATTATCTGCAATAGATATCGATAATTTTTGAGAAAATATCGATATGTCGATATATCGGTGTTTTTTACTCAAGTCTAATGTAATATACGAGAGTGCTTCTGTTGATGAAATTGTGATTAAAAGTTTAGTGTACAAAATTTTGTTTATTTAAATAACCGTTTATGTTACAACCTATCAAAAGGCCACTGCTGAACATAGGCCTCCCCGTAGATTGCCTCATAGGAATATTTGCCATAGTTGCCACACTTGGCACCTCAGTTTTGTTTTAAGACGCTGCTGCTCATCCCCTGATTTGTTTCCCTCGCTCTTCTTACGATACCCACAAGTCTATATGGGGTACTGAATATTCTTCCACTGCTACTAGACAGTCAATTTTAATTAATTGATTAACGGTTATTTAAATTAATGAATAATGTTTTATTATAATCCTTCTTTGAAATTTACATTTCATACTATTTAACTTTTAAAAATGTAGAATAAAATTTCTAGTTTCGACCGCTTTGAATAACTTAGGTAATTTCAAAAACAAGTTTAAAAGCGTCCGCGTCTCTTCCAAAGTAGGACATATCCGGGAAAACCCGGACGTATTGTAGAGTTTATAGAGATTATTTCGACTCGTTAGCTACGTTATTGGCTAGTAAAACTCGATAGGAAAATTAATTGTTTTCTGTGAAGGCTAAAGTAGGGTTACATGTACAACGAACCTAACAAAGTTTTTCTAAGTCGTGAATATTGTTTAGGGGAACTATAATATATGATAATGTAACGATTATCGTTTAAATTTGTAAATGTACATGCATTTAAAACTTAGTGTGTTAACAAAACTGATGCATCCTGTTGAAAGTATTATGGGACTTCCATGAAAGTATCGCTAAATAAATATATATTTATAATAAAAATATAATCCTACAATATACCTTATACTGCCTTCTTTATTCCTGTATTATATAGTTGCCTTTGATTGTTGCAACTGACAGTCAGCAAGTCAATAAAATATAATATACCTACCATTATAATCTTTACTGCGAGTAGCAGCTTATTTTTTAAAATATATATATTTTTTTAATTTTTATAAGCCAGTGCTTGACTTTAATTCCACTTGGTGGTAAGTGGTGACGAAGAATTAGGTGGTAAATTGCACTTCCTTAGCGTTACAAAAGCCTATTCATTCTTGCACTGAAGACACCCAGATTGTAATTGGATGGAAAGACACACGCCAGTAAATTATTCATAAATTAGATGAAACAAACAGTTTGGTTTCGTGGAATATCGACAATAAAGACATCTAGACCCGATGACCGACTTGCTGTCCGAGACTGAAAGGGGAGTGAGGAATCAAGCCATGTAATTCCTGCGTACACTCTCCGGAAAACCGAGAAGCGTGCTATTTTGCGATCGTGTGCAAGCTGAGCCTGGTGATTGGTTTGAAATAAATCGGGGTCACTAATAAGCCATTTTGCGTGCCTTTCTACTGCGTCTAACACAGCTAAGTGGCAATTTGCAGCACCAGCCGATAGGTCACAGCAGTGTCCCATACACAATCGAACTTGCCATTTCTGCCGACTTCCAAAAAGGAGACGGTACTCAATTCGACTGTATGTTTTTTATTTTTTATGTGTGTTACCTCATAACTTTTTACTGGGTGAACCGATTTCTATGATTTTTTTTTTATTTGAAAGCTGGTACTTCTCGTGTGGTCCCATATGAATTTGATCAAGGTCAGAGCAATGTTTTTTGAGTCATTCTTAATAACTTATATTGAAGTCGGCTGTACAAATTTTTTAATTTTAAATTATTATAGGGTCTGAAGCCGTAAGTTCACCCGTACCTTTTGGAAATCACCACCAGGTCATCTTCTCATGGCATGTTTAGCCATCAAAGGATTTTTGTACGATGGCGAGAAGCCTATCACGAGTTGCTGGCTCTTTAATTGGGCACCCTTCTATCTATGGTCGGCCATCAGTGCAACCGTACTTTCGATCCCACTAGCTTTCATAACTAGGCACCTGACACTAAGTAAGGAAAAGCCGCGCCGCTTCTGGTTTTCTACTTAACGCTACTAACTGGATCTAATCTCTAAAAAAAGAATTTCCCCTAACATTATACTGGAATGTGACTTGCGCCAAATGGCGACGGCAGACTGGGCCTGCCGCTAAGAAGAACCAGCCTTTAACCATTAAGTGGACCCATGGGATACATGTAGAGAGTCGGTTTTCTTCACTTAAGCCTATCAAAGTCTACTGTCGAACACAGGCCACATTGCAAAGCTTGGCAGGCAAGTTGGCAACCACAGATTTTATTTTCTAGTTGTTATTGGGAATACGCTGCAGTTTGCTTCTTACAACACCCACGGGACGATATAGATACCTATAGTAGGTATAGATAAAGATAATATATACATTTAATAAATTTTCTTAGACCGCCTCTAAACGTGTAGAGAATAAAGAGTCAGAATTCAATTCCTTCAAACTTACTAACACATTCAAGCTAAATAAGAGCTATAATTAAGCAGACCGCGTTAGCTTTGTCTAAAATGATTTCATTATAAGTAATAAAAGGGCTATTATTAAAAAAAAATGGTTTAAATCGTTCCAACAAATTACGAAAATTAACTTTTCATTTTACCTTCCAAACCTGAGTTAGTTATCTTTTTTACTGTAAAGAATAAAATCAACGTCCTAAATGATTCAATTGTGTCAAATATTCCTATGTTTTTGAATATAAACTCAAAGCTCTGCCTATTTTTCAGATGGAGAGGCAGCGTGTACAAGCTGGTGTGGCGCGAGTTGCTAGCCTATCTTACACTATACTACACGATCAACTTATTGTATCGATTTGCACTAACTGAACAACAGCAAAGGTAAGTATATAATACTCTCCCGAATGATATATTCTTATAATAGTCAAAAAGAATAATAAGCTAAGCTAACTAAGCCGGAATAATGAGTGTAAAAACCTTATACTAAAATGGGTACAATCGAAAACATATGACAAAACTGAATTTCTGATGGAACGCATTTCATAATCCACTGTTCATTACAATATATAACATAATAAATTTTAGATAAGGAAGAGCGGGGTTTCCAAACACAAGCATTACTTGCTTAAATGGAGACCCCAATCAACTATCTAATTAATTTAAGTTTTGTAAAAAAATAATATTTAATTTAATTTATTTATTTAAGCTTAAACTGTCTGAGTGACTCGTGTAATGGCGGTGTAATAATGTCGACTACCCCATATCATTCCGTGGGTTGGAAGAGGCGACAGAGGGAAATAAATCAAGCGATGGTCAGCAGCATCTACTTGTTACGAACTCAAAGTACAAAAAAATGCCAACACGTCAACTAAGCTTGGCAATAATTGCAGATATCTCTCCTACAAACCAATCTATGGGGAAGGGGATGAATAAAGATTCAGTATTGGTCTTATGATAGGTTGTGATGATGATGATGATACGTTTTCACTTGGCCCCGAAGTAGTACATGCCATACGATCTATCTGGTAAAATGTCATTGAAAGATAATTAAATGACAAACATTTCATAAAATTGTAAAAAATGCTCCAAATATTTAAGAAAGTTTTTTCTTAGACCAAAGCTGACTATTTAAGTTAACTTTCTACAAAAACAACTTAATCCACTTTTAGTGTAATTAATTTGGGAACTGGTAAACTTGATTCTAAAACGAAAGAGTCCACCTTAAAATTAAACGGTCGAATTGTAAAAGAGAGTGGCAAATGAGTATCTTCAAGTTATGATTGATAGATGACTAGATTGTAATATTTTATTCCAGTATAAAATATTTACAATGTAGTCATATAGTTGCAGGGTCATTTCTCAGTCGGAATTTAGTTTTTGCTGATTTTCATTTTAAACATATACTCGTATTCGTATGATCTATACAAGTATTCTTAAGACGTTCAGGAACCTCAACGAAAACAAAACGGAAGATCTATAGAGCCTATAATTATAATTGATGTAGCCTCAATATTAGCGATGATTTTTAATCTCTGTGATGACTTTGACGTGTTTTCAAAATAAATTAAACACAGTAAGATCGAAACACTGGATATTATTTTACAGAGTTAATACAGATTATATAGTTAACGTAGTGTTTTTGCAGATTGATTTTCGCACACTGAAGTATGGCAAAAATTTCTGCCCGGAAGATAGAGATGAAGCTATCCAAATTCATTCTATGTTTGAATTTGGGGCGTCCCCCATAAATTATAAAGCCTACGTTGAGGCCCATTTTTGACCCATCGGTATACCATATAAGGCTATCGACCTCACAGATGACCTGTCCATTCAACCAGTCTTCTCTGGAGGGTAGTTCCACTGTATACTTTTTGTTAAAAGTATACATATAGTGGACGCATGCTATCTGAGATCATGCATAATACCGGTGTTTCGTTGATTGAGTCGAGCATGGAATGCAGTCTACAACCCTCGCCTCCTTGTCTAACTAAAGATCAAGAGGCGTTAGGTCTAAAAGTGCATTAAGAGCCTATAATGGCCTAGAAATAATTTCGCTTGGTACTGATATGTCCTTGTGTAATTTATCTATGTAAATCACGTCCACGACACAGAAGAAAATCCTGATGCAGCGGTAACTTTTAAAAAAATTATATATTTTAAATTGTAAATAAAATTTATAATATGGCATTTTAAAAAGTACATAACAAAACATCTCGGAGTTTCTTGCCAGTTCTTCCCTGAGAAGGTCTTGTTCTTGCAAACCGGTGTAGATTAAAATATGAATAGTAATAAAACATTTTTGAAACAGGTATTCTTAATGGTTCCGAAAAGAATAACACATATACATAATATTTTTTAAGTTATTGATGCATGTTAAGCTCTTCTAGTCATTAGAAACCATTTTAAAATTTTATGATCTTTTACTCGCTGTATACTTCTTTTTATAAAAATGAAGTGACAAAAGAACTACAGTCGAGGAGTTTTGAGAAAACTTGATCGCTGGTAGATTGTTGCTCCTGTTTTAATGTTTAAATAATGGTCTGATGTGGTTTGAATTTGATACGTGGTAGATTGTGTGTTAAATGTAAGCGCATGAAAAGTATTAGTGACATCAAAGAAGTGCTCCGATAGTGATGTGAGCCTTAAGTTATCGTGATTTCTTTGGCGCCTTGTCATACTATTGTCATCGCTTCTTCTAACTCATGCCTAAGTCAAAATTTCCCAAAAATTTTGCTTAGCATAATATGTTATGAGTTCTTCATTGAAAGAAATTATTTTAAAGGATAATTTCTTTTTACTTGACCGTGGCAAAAGTACAATAGTACGAGTCCATTACCAAAGAAACGAAAGAGAAAACTTCTAGATACCCGGTCGTAAGTGGCTACTGGAGACCATGGACATACGCGGCTAACTTGAAACAAACACGGCTACTGATAAGTTGTTACATATGAGAATAAACGTGGAACACCTCACAGCCTGTAGTTATACTGTCTCATAAGACCTTCAAATTGGAACACAGCTGTGCAGGCTGTGCTATTTGCCGACAAAAGTAGGTAAGAGGGTAACTACCTATACGAGTTCTAGGCAGAAAAGGAATAATAATATATAATAATAATAATAATAAGAGATCTAGACAAAATAAAAAATTAAACAAATTAAAGAGTTAAAGTTTTTAGTTTTTGTAACAAATTACAAAATCTAGACATCCATAAACTTACCTTTATATTGCTACAGAAAGCAGCAATATTGAATACGTGTAGAATAGTCCGTAAGTTTCTGTCTAAACATTAAACATTCAACCGAGTTCGTTTGGCTAACAGCCCGCGAAAAAGGTATAATACCTCGGAAACGAGAGAATACTAAACAGAAAGAATAGTAATAATAATAATAATATCTTAGCAAAATATACACATGCATATATATACCTACACAGGTTATAATTGTGTTTTCGAAACATCTAATTATGTTAGTAATATTCGAAATAAAATAAATTAAATTAAACAAACTTGAAAAGGAGGAGGCCTTTATGTAGACGTACAATATTATAGTATAGGCTGGGCTAAATGTAATTAGTAAGTCTAAAAATGATTAAGAGTTATAATATTAAAATAAATAATATATATAATATTTATATAAACATATACTATACATATACATAAATAAAATAGAATGAAGTATATACTTAATTAAATTTAATTTAAAGTAAAAAACACGCAGACTTGATGACTACCAGCCTCTCGAACAAGCTGGTTTCCGAAAAGGCTTTAGTACCATGGACCACATACACACCCTTCGGCAAATTGTACAGAAGACAGAGGAGTATATTCTGTCACTTTGCCTTGCGTATGTAGAGAAAGCCTTTGATTCTGTCCCAATTTGGGCGGTGCTGCAGTCCCTTCAGCGGTGCCAAGTTAACTGTCGGTATATCGAAGTGCTGAAGTGTTTGTACAGTAGGGCTACGATGGCTATCCGAGTACAGAATCAGAGTACGAAACCTATCCAACTGCAGAGAGGTGTAAGACAGGGTGACGTTATATCACCGAAAATCTTCACCGCTGCATTGGAAGACGTTTTCAAGTTACTGGACTGGCAGGGATGTGGTGTTAACATCAATGTCGAGTACATGACTCACCTTCGATTTGCCGACGATATAGTCCTTATGGCAGAATCGCTGGAGGACCTAAGCACTATGCTCAATGACCTCAATAGTGTTTCCCAACGGATATGTCTTAAGAAGAACATGGACAAAACAAAAATCATGTTTACCGTCCATGTCACACCTATGCCAGTAGTTGTTGGGAGCACTAAGCTCGAAGTTGTTGACGAGTATGTTAACTTGGGACAAATAGTCCGACTAGATAAGTCCAACTTCGACCGAGAAGTCAATCGACGGATTCAACTCGGCTGGGCAGCGTTCGGGAAACTATGACACATTTTCTCGTTAGACATACCTCAAAACCTGAAAACGAAATCGTACAACCAGTGCGTGTTGCCAGTGATAACTTACGGATCTGAGACGTGGTCCTTCACTGCTGGCCGTATGAGGAAGTTCAAGGTCGCTCAGTGAGCTATGAAGAGGGCTATGCTCGGGGTTTCTCTGCGTGATAAACTTAGAAATGAGGATATACTGCGGATGTATGAATCTTTAAAGCAAGCCCTCTTAAATCAAATAAATGACCTTGATACATCGTTCAACAGTGGATCAGATAGCTTACTATTATGAAAAGGATACCGTCTTAATTTTTTAAGTCTAGAACCTTAATAATATACACACGTTGTTGTATTAACCGTTATGTATTTATCGTTGTTTCCGTGTAGTGGCGGTGTAATAATATTCACTACCCTATACCATCCTGTGGGTGTCGTAGGAGTCGATATTATATAATATTTTACAGTATAAATTTTATATTTATAAAGTGAATCATCATCCCAATTACCAGTAATATTCGGGAAGTGATGAAGATGCGCGGTAAATAATATAAATATTTTTTGTTTGCTACACATATAAAAGCGTAATTCAAAATAATAGAAAAAAAGAATGACTTTCTTTTATTTGTGTTATCAAAAGTTTTTAAAATTAAATTCACACTTATTCAAATTACATAATATTATAATAAAAGCACCTTTCAAATAAGGAGGATAGTGACAGGTTTTCAATAATGAAAAGCAGTATTTTTTTTATAGGAGAGGGGGTTTGCCCCCAAACGAGCATACGGCTCATCTGATGGTAAGTGATTACCGCCGCCCATGAACAATTGTAACGCCAGGGGAATTGCAGATGCGTTGCCGGCCTTTTAAAAAGGAGTACGTTATTTTTTTGAAGGTCCCTAAGTCGTATCGGTCCGGTAAAATCTCTGGTGGTAGTCGATTCCACAAGGAAG